GTTAGCAAGAAGCCTGCCACGGCCATACAGTTTATAAGTGATATAAGCATCTGAGTGATTATTTTATATGTGGATTGTGGGACTGCGTGCCTCACATTAGCAATCTTTCAGCCTCAACTTCCAGAATGTTATAATTAGAGGCATTTGCTTGTGTGCCTAGCTAACCTGTACCTGTTTCTGAGAGTGCCTGAAAGTCCCCATCTTATATTATGAGGAGACAGGAAGCTACTTATTTAGCCTATTTCCATCACCCAGGCCGGAGTTCTGCAACAAGACACAAGGACAATGGTCCTGCTCTTTCTGAGTAATGTCTGGTACAAGAAGTGGAGCCCAGGGCTTCATCTCCTTTTCTGGATACCCTCTCTGCCTTTCAGGTCAGAACAAGGGCAGCCAGGTCTCTAGTGGAAGAGCATGCAAGGCAGAGACTCCACTCCACAAATAAGGAATGGGTGGAAGAGGGTGCTCCCACCCTTCAGCTGCCCCACAGCACTCCGCCTCCAGGAGCGGGGCAGGAGTAAAGTCCTAAAGTCAAGTCTAAAGTACTGCTCCTCCCAACAGCACTCAGAGCTGGTTCCTGCTGTTGAAGTTTAGAATGAGCTTCCATCTCACTGAGCTGCAACTGGTAGGGAGAGTGCTCATCTTAGTTAAAATGCTCTATACTCGAACATTTTCTTAACAATTTAGGAGCTTAACTTGAATAGGTATTTTTTAATTCCCTATAAAACCCCAGACTCATTTCCAGAGACTTTAAATGTGGTTCTTCATTTATTTTTTTATTTTTATTTTTTATTAGTTTCAGTGAGCATTGGATCTATGGGTTCTTTATGCTGCCATAACAGATACTAAGTTTATTCACTCTTATGGATTAGAATTCCCTGGTGTGAACACACCCTGCTTTATTCATTCTCTCACCAGTGGACGTGTGGCCAGTTTCTAGCTTTTCTGCTAACCTAACATTGCTGCTATCAACATTGTTTTGCATGTATCCTATGGCACACCAGCAAGTGTTCCTATTGGGTATAGAGTATATATATATCTAGGAATGTGAATGTTGGTAAAAAAAAATTCTGTAATATTTAATTTTGCAAGGCAGGTACAAGTTGTTTTCCAAAGCAGCTGGAGCTGTCCATTTCCATTTCCAACTAAGTGTGTAAAAGTCCTTGGAGCTGTCCACCTCTGATCTACAGCCTCCTCAACCTTTGTTGTGAGACTTGCCAAGATAACAGGTGTAAAATTTTATCCCACCACAATTACAAACGAGGGAAGAATTTATGTTCATTTTCTTGTTTTCTCTTCTGTGCATATCTATTTCTTCCAGTTTTTACTAGCTGTCCAGAGGAGGGAGGGGTCAAGGAAAAGATCAGGAGAGGAGAGCAGCCTTCCCTCCTTAGTCTTCTTGTGGCAGGCAGGTCTAGGGATGGAAGCCAGGGCCTCACACAGCCCAGGTAGCACCTCAGCCCTCAGGAGGGCTCCGGTCAGATCGAATGAGTCGATTAAGGAGTCTGCCTCATTAAATTGACATGTATGTGGAGAGCCTCACAAGAAAGGGGAGCCTGAAGAAACAACCAAAGCAAGATGCTTTGATATTAGACAACAATCAATTTAGGAAGGACAGACAGGACAAATGGATCTTCGACTAAAGGTAAATCCTAGGGATGTCACTGAGAGATGGGGGGAGGGTAGAAGCTAATGGAAGCTAAAGGTTACTTCAAAGAACTTGTTCATTGGGGTTGTGATGAATTACTGCAGTCACCAGTCTGGTGATCAAGGCTGTTTTTCTGGCTTTGCTCTGTGAAAGAGTTTCTCTCAAGAGAATCTTTATGGCTTGCTGCATGTAGGAAAGGACAGGTCAGACGGCCCTTTCTGTAGTGACAGTCTCTCCAGTGATGTCACGCTGAAGTAATCACCATGTCACTTGGCATACCGTGAGATGACCGATGATTTTCACTCTTCCATGGCTTAGCCTTTTTTGAAATTGTAGTTTCATATGTAAATATTAACTCTTGTCCATTCTGTGTATTATAAATAAATTCTGCCAGTTTGAGGCTTGTTTTAATTTCTTTAAGGCAACTTTTGATGAACAAAGTTCTATTTTAATATGGCTGAATCTTGTTCTTTTGGTTAGTACTCTGTCTTGTTTAAGAAATGTTTCTCGCCGGGCGTTGGTGGCGCACGCCTTTAATCCCAGCACTCGGGAGGCAGAGCCAGGCGGATCTCTGTGAGTTCGAGGCCAGCCTGGGCTACCAAGTGAGC